TAGGTGCTTTCTTTGGAGGGATTAATTTGGTCCTGGGGACCTGCTGCTGTGCAGTGAACTTTAGAACTGTTCACAGAGCTGTCAGAAGCTGTCATCGAGTCTGGGATCCTGGGCATAGCTCGTGGAGAGCCACGTTTCGTGCCTTGGGGACAGAGCAGCCTGTGTTCCTAGTGACAAGTGCAAAAAAAAAAAAACCAGCTTCCTTGGGGAGAGGGGAGGGAAACCTCTCCAGAGGTTGTATGAGACTTAACTGGGCTTCTCCAGCTAGATGTGACCAGTTTATTATTGAAATTTCCAGCTCCAGCACCCTTTGTATTCCCACGTGATTGCATGTACCTTAATACACGTAGCTATTTGGGAACATTTACAGCTCCTGTAAATGGAACTCTCTTCTTTCCTAATAGTGGTTAAAGAAATGGATTAAGAAGTGTGATGATGACAGTGAAACTTCTAATTGGATTGCAGCAAACACAAAGGTGAGAAGGTTTCTCCTGTTTTATATAGCCTTACCTGATGCAAAGGACAGTCAAATTCCTCTCTACTAGGATTATTTTTTTCTGTTGCACGTCATTATTTAAAAGCAAACCTTAAAATCCACGGCACGGTCTGGTCGGCCTCTTGAGGAGTTGTTCATTTCTGCTGGGCAGGGTTCCAGTTAGAGAGGCTGGCAGGCCAGCCATGAAGATTTTATTCTGGAAATGGCTCTGCTCTAGCGAGCCCAACTTTGCCTGAGACTTCAGCATTTGGGACGAATTAAAACAAAGGTCGATGTGGTGGCAAGAAAACAAAAGCAGCAGATGCCACTGGGGGGGGTGGCTGGGAGCAGAGCTGGGTCACACGGCTGCCGAGCCAGGAGGGTGGAAGAAGGTGGGGAGAGAGTGAGGAAATGGCTGCTTTGTTTTCTTAGCTCTGTTGTGTAACTGGTTAATGGTATTGTTTGCAGCAGAGGCTGCTTCTTTCTGGGGCTGGCTGCATGGTTTTCATTGAGCTGGAATGTTGCATGATGGTGAAATCAGAAACGCCCATCAGGCTGAAACACACTGTGAAAATTGGGCTGAAATTGCACAGCCTCAGCTGCTGCTTTTTGTTTTGTGGGCTGGGGCTTGTGTGGTCCCTGCTTGGAGGCTGAACGTTGCTCAAGGAAGCAAACTTGGCTTTTGTTTTGGAGGTGGGTGTGTTCAAAGATGTGCCATGGCATGAGAAGTGAACCAGCTCAGTTCAAAGTTTGCTTGGCCTTCAAGTATTGCTGGTGTTAAACCTGGAGTAGAATAGCTGAAGAGCTTGGAAAGGGCTAAGTACATGAAAAGCAGCTTTTAGCCTGGAGTAGCAAATATTTGGACTGTCGGAATGGCCACAACCCTTTTTTGCCAGTGACAAAGCCTTTGGGAGCCAGATGAGGAGCTGCTGCTGCCCTTCAGGGGTGTCATCTTGGCCATGGCCTGAGGGCTCCCCATCTTCTACCTGCCCCTACCTTGGCATGTGCTGTTGAAGTTAAGCTCCCCTTGCTGGGGCTTGTTGTGAATGAATGTTAAGCTTTCCCTTACTGGATTCTGTGCCCGTTAAAAAGGCTGAAATTATGTTATACACGTTACACAGACCAAACATGAATTATGTGTCACTGATGATGGCTACTGGAAATAGGAAGCCACTTGCCTCTTTTTCAGACAGGAAGATGGTAGTTTCTGCAGCTTGCTCTCTGCAAGACAGAAATATTGTGAGGATGGTCTTCCTTGGTGTCGTTTTTTTTTTTTTTTTTTCAGCCAGGATCTAGACTTTGTCAGTTGCTGGTGGTTGGGCTGATGTTTAAAGCATAGCTCAGACCATCAGAAATAGTATTGAATGGTAGGAGTCAGAAGATCTTAATGTTTTATTGGTTTTTTTTTTGTGGGAAATGTCTGTTCAGAGGACAGTGAGAAGGGGAAATGAGCATGGCCAGGCCATGCTGGCATCAGCCCAGCTTATCTGTTCTTTCTGGTGTCAGCAGCAGAAGAGCCCTTGTCCTTCACCATCACCTAAGCTGCTTCCTCTAATACCGTACGAGATCCTTCTACAGCAAGAAAAATTCAGGCTTGGATTTCATTTTGAGCAGCCTAGAAGGGAATCAGGTCAGGTTCCATCAGATTCAAACCCCCCTGTTTTCAGTGGGAATAACTCCCCAAATCACTCGCTACTGTGGTCTGAAAAGTGCTTTCTGGAGTCCTCCAAGCGTGATGTTGAGATGCGGTCCTGTCCCATGTGGTCTCCATGCAGGCAACAAAGCTTCTTGTCTTCCCAAGATGAAGGTATAAGAGAAAACCACCATTCCTCCTGGAATGTGGGTAATCCATTGCAACAGGACTATGTGAGATACCTTTGTTCCAGCTTGCCCTGGGAGATGGACTAGGAAAGGAAGATCAGGCAATTGCTGTAATAATAGAAAAGTAGAACTTGGCTGAATCGGTTTCTGTTCACAAGCTGGAATGACGTGGGATAGTTTTTGATGGATTATGTAGAATAATATGAATGAAAAGTGAGGAGATTTGGGAGTTCTGTAGTTTCCTATTTTTTTTATTATTTTGCATTTATTTATTTGTACTTGGGAGACCTGCACTAATTCCCTTCTACTTAATCAAAAGATAGAGCCCTTGCAGCAGAGTGTGTTGGACTTTTTTGACTTAAAATAAGCTATATTCACAAATGAGTTCAGTTTAGCTCTGTTTTAATTTAATTTAATTAAGCCAACACAAGTTTTTATTCAGTCTTTAATTCTCAGGCGTCTTGTGAAGGATTGGATGGTCCAAGGTTTTGATGGTTGAGTGGTCCAAGGTTTTCTGCATTTCTTTATTTCTTTTTTTGTACAGCCTTGGTTCTGAAATTTTTATTTCTTGAATTAAGCTAGGCAGCTTGCAGGTCTTTGGTTCGTGTGGCTTTGGGAATAAAGAAACCACAGAGATCCATGACTTTAAGTGGACCTTCAGAGGAGTAAGAAACATAGAAAACTTGGATTTGGGCTCTTAAGGTGTATCAAGACTGTCTCAAAGGAGCCTAAAAGGAGGAGGGGAAACCCGTTTTAAACCTGAGTTTCAGTGATATGCATCTTGGAATAGGAAAGGAAGAACAAAGATGGTAACGGTGCCAGTCTGCACCCAAGGCACTTCTTTTCTGTTAAAGTGAAATTTGTGTTAATGAAAGTTGTTCTGCTGGTACTAAAAATGCCCCTGCCTTACAGCTTTTGACTCCTGGCAGGTCACCATCTCATTATCTCCTGGGCTAGACAGGGCTTGAATGGCTGATGCATAAACCAGGCAGGTTTTCTTCCTCTAGAAAAGCTATTGGCTGTTTTTTCTCCTCTTAAGCCAGGTAAAATGGCACGAACCCAATTCTCTTCCTTTTAGGTCACTTTTTAATGTCTGAACATGCTCTCCCTCTGTACTTTCTGGAAGTCCTACATTTGTTCTAACGTGTGGAAATTCTGGCAGCCTGCTAGATCCTCCTTGGGCACCGGCATCGAACTTTGCTCTTTCATTTCTCACCAGCACAGTTTCGTGCCAGAGCTGTGAACAGCATCTTTCCAAAGCTCTCCTAGTGCCATCTTTTCCTCGCCCAGGGTTTAAAATACCCGACTCTAGGTGTTGTCACAGTGTACTAGTTTGTGCTAACCGTCAAGTTCAGCATTTTGGGGTTTCATTGAAATGCTTTAAGGAATCCCTGTGGTCTTTGAGGGTTCTTTGATTTTATGGGATGGGTTAGAGGGCAAGGCGTAGCTGTGGACGTGGCACTGATGTCCACCAGTGGCCTCTGGCAGTTCCAGAGAGGATTAATCCTTTCTATGTGAAATATGCTTCTGTTTAACCCCCCTGAAGTTTATGGTGGTTTACATACACGCAGCCTTTTAGGAGAAAATGGAGATTGTTCTCCTTTGCCAGCTTGGCATGGGCTTCTGTTTGCTAACGAGGTCACTTCTGCATCACAGCGTGGCAGATAAGGTGGAGAATAATCTACGGCTTCAGTCATTGGGGTTGCTGCCTATCGCATCCTTGCGTAGCCCTAATTCTCAGTAAGATCTTCCTTCCCTGTCCTCCTTAATCTATAAATCTCTCCCACCCGTTGCATTGGTGGCTTAAGTTGCTGCTTTTTTTTCCTTTCTGCTGGATTTGAGTGTTTCTTTAGCTTTCTTCTCATGGCTTGTCCTTCATTTTTCATAACGCTCAACTTCTTCACTTTTAACTTGATGGATCTGTAGAGCTTTGTGTGTCATCTCTCTGCCTTGTGCTTGGCTTGGCAGGCGTATGAAGGCTCGTGAAGGAACAGCATGGAGACACTGAGGAGCTTGGTCTCATCCTCAGATGAGGTCTCCCGAGGAGCAGCTGAGGGACCTGGGGTTGTTTAGTCTGGAGAAGAGGAGGCTCAGGGGAGACCTTGCTCACTTCAGCTCCCTGAAAGGAGCTTGGAGTGAGGTGGGGGTTGGTCTCTTCTAAGTGTAACCAGCAATAGGAGTGATACCTGGCTGAGTATCCATCCTCTGGACAGCTCAAGAGGACAGCTTGATGCCCTCCTGAGAGGGCCAGCAAAGGAGCTACTGTGCTTCACGTAACTCTGTAGTACAGTTACGCTGTTTGTAGCACAAGCATAGATGAGGGGGGAGGAAAGCAGGTCTGGAGAACCCTGTTGAAGTGCTTGCTTGCTGCTTGCACCCATCAGGGTGACAACCAGCCTCCCAGCAAACCTGACCCAAACCAAAGAAGCTGCCAGCTACTGTGCAGTACTGACAGGGAGGGTGGGAGGAGAGTGTGACTGCAGAGGGAAACCTTTATCAAAGTACTGGAGTAGTTCCCCAAGTGTGGAGAGTCACTTTATTTACATTACAAACCTGGTTTTCCACTTAGAAATGGAGCTTTGTGTCCTCCTGCCCAGGCCAGGCCCCAGATGTGACCCGTGGGTAGGATGGGAGTGCTGCCCTGAGCTCAACAGGAGGGCAGCATGCTCCAAACAAGTGCTGTAGTAGCTACCTGTAGTAGCACATTCCTCTTGGAGGAATGGTCCTGGAAAACCGTGCTGGTTGTGTGGCCCAGTCCTCAACCCTTGCTCTTCAGCATGAGGCAGTAGGACCAAAGCAGGACTTGGAAAGGGAAGAAATGGTGGCAGTACTCAAGTGGAGTGCTCTGCCATTGCTGGGCAGATGGGAATCGTGAAGTGATGTAGGATGAAAGGGAATTTTTGTTCAGTCCCTCATCTCAAAGCCAGGGTAACCTCAAAGCTAGTGCAAGCTGCTTGTAACGAGCCTCATTTTTCATTAGCTCTCAGGTCTGCAAAGTCTCAGTCAGAAGCAGAGGAAGCAGAACTAGCTGAAAGCAATTTGAATTGTGTTGGCCAGAAGAAAGTTCTAGTCCCTTGTCTCTTTTCCCTTGTAACCAGCTTTGCCTTGCAGCAAACCTCCCTCTCTGCAGTGGAAAGGGTCATGGCAGACACCTGGAGACAGCATTGGTCTTCTGTACCTCCTGAGCCATCTTCTGAGGACTCGACCTTTCAGCTCATCCAGTCCAACCACTCCCCCAGCACTGCCAGGTCCCCACTGACCCATGTCTCTCAGCACCACATCTCCACAGCTTGGAAACCCCTCCAGGGATGGGGACTCCACCACTGCCCTGGGCAGCCTGGAACAGCCCTGGACAACCTTCACGGGGAAGGAATTATTCCTCAGGGCCAACCTCAACCTCCCCTGGGGTAACCTGAGGCTGTTGCCTCTTGTCCTGTTGCTTGTTCCTTGGGAAAAGAGCCCCACCCCCAGCTGGCTCCAGCCTCCTGTCAGGGAGCTGTGGAGAGCCAGAAGGTCTCCCCTGAGCCTCCTTTGCTCCAGGCTCAGCACCCCCAGGTCCCTCAGCTGCTCCTCACCACATTTGGGCTCTAGACCTTTTGTGCTTCTGACCCAAGAGCTGCAGCTGATTCTCCCTGACCATGGATAACTTGTTTGGACGTGTTTTTTACTGCCTCATAGATAAACCTGGCTTCTGGAAAACCTCCATTAATGTTGGGGTGGTTGTGTGGTGGGTTGGACTGAGGAACTGATCCAGACAACAGTGGTTCTTATTTATGGTGTCCTGGCACAAGAGAAGTGCCACAGGGGCAGGAGTGAGTGGCGGCAGAGAGCTGGTCTGGCTTCCTTTGCCTAGTACATTCTGTCCACCTCAGCTTTGTGTACTCATCAGGATACTACAGAAACAACCTTCTACAGGAGCTGAAAATCATTTTAGGAAGTGGCCTTAGGCCGCAGTGTCTGAGAAGGGCGTTGGTGTGATCAAAAACCCCCCAATTCCCCAGAGATTTCCCTGTGTTCTTCCCCAGCTCTTTCATGTCCTCTTCTTTGTCCAAGACCTCACCTGAAAGGGAAGCCCTGTGTGGGCTTTCGTTGGAAAGTGAAGGAGGAGGGAAAAAAAAAGCAGGGACGTGGTGGGAACTGTGAAAATGCCTCAGGAGGAGAAGTGTCTTTTTAGCTGACAGAAGCTTCTTTGAAGCAGGCTAGATTCTTGCTGCATGTTTTCAGGTACTTTTTGGCTGGTGTTCTACAACTGTGGGTGTCCTGGATTGATAACGGCATGATATCAGCTCACCCTTAGGGTTTTTTTTTTTTTTCAGTTTGAGCATTCAGTTTTGGACCCCTCACTCCAAGAAGGACCTTGAGGGCCTGGAGTGTGGCCAGAGAAGGGCAATGAAGCTGCTGGGGAAGGGTCTAGAGCCCAAGCATGGTGAGGAGCAGCTGAGGGACCTGGGGGTCTTGAGCCTGGAGCAAAGGAGGCTCAGGGGAGACCTTCTGGCTCTCCACAGCTCCCTGACAGCACGCTGGAGCCAGGTGGGGATTAGGCTCTGCTCCTAAGGAACAAGCAACAGGACAAGAGGCAACAGCCTCAGGTTGCCCCAGGGGAGGTTTAGGTTTGCTATAAGGAGACATTTCTTCACTGCAAGAGTTGTCTAGGGCTGTCCCAGGCTGCCCTGGGTGGTAGTGGAGTCCTCATCCCTGGAGGGGTTTCCAAGCCGTGGAGATGTGGTGCTGAAGCACTTGGTTTAGTGGTGGACTTGGGGTAGAGTTAGGTTAATGGTAGGGCTTGATGAACTGAAAGGTCTTCTCCAAGGAAAATGGTTCTGTGATGTTCCCCATCCAGTGTGCCGCTGGGACCGTGGCACAGATCCAAGGTGTTATTCCTCCTTGGGGATTTTTGCTGTCTAGATGCTCAGATGTTGGAAACATTTGAAGGCCTGACTCGGAAGAGGATCTCCCTGATGAAAGGGAAGAAGTAAATCGTGCAGTTCACTTGATGTGCTCTCTCTTCTTTTGGGGGCCCTTGTAAGCCCCTGGGGCTGTGCTGGGTTCTGCACTTCCCCTGCTAACGCCACTCTCTGTCCTGGCCCTAGGAATGCCCCAAATGCCATGTCACCATTGAGAAGGACGGGGGCTGCAACCACATGGTCTGTCGGAACCAGAACTGCAAAGCCGAGTTCTGCTGGGTGTGTCTGGGCCCCTGGGAGCCCCACGGATCTGCCTGGTGAGTTCAGGAGAGGGCCTCGCCAGAAGGCGGGGAGGGAATGATGCCAACAGCAGCGGTGTGGACTGAAATCTGTGAAACTGGTGTCCTTGCTACAGGTACAACTGCAACCGCTACAACGAGGATGATGCAAAGGCAGCAAGGGATGCACAGGAGGTGAGTCCATAACCTTTGGTGGTTGGGGATGCCACCGACCCAGTGAGAACCTATCAGTCAGAATTGAAAGAACTTCCTGGATTTGGGCAGGAATCCCAAAGACACTTCAGTTCCCCTGCAGCTTTGGACTCCTGCTTCGTGCTGGAAAAGGAATGTTCCAAGCCACTTTCCCCCAGTTTAAAGAGCACATTAACTGGGTGGTGATCTCTCACACTGCCTTGCCTGGTTTATGCTGTTCCATGCTCTTTGCATGAGGTCAGCATAACGCTGAGGGTCTGAGGGAACAATCCTCATGGCCTTCACAAAATGCAAAGGTCTTAATGCAAATCCCAGGTGTTGAAACACAGCAGAAACTGGAACCAAACCCTTTTTAAAACATGGCACAGCACGCACAACCCATCCCTCCCCAACTTCCACAAACCCCTTTCCTGTGTACCTGTCAGAGCACAGTTACAGCCAAGACCCAAAGTCTTTCCTGCAGCCCCTCCTCCTGGAGACAGGGAGGTCTTTGGATCTGTGCTGTCTTTGTACATCCACGATGTATAACCATGCCTGTGCTGTGTTTTTTTTTTTTTTTACAGCTGATCTGTCAGTGAGGGTGAAAAAATAAGATTAATGGTTGTGTGTTGAGTCATCTCAGTTCTCTTCTACTACTTAGCACATGGCTTATTTCCCCTGCTCTATAATCACTGCAGCCTAGGCAACCTAAGGTTGCTCTCTTAACACAAATAATTGTTTAATTAGAACTCTTATTAGCAAAAAAAAAGAAAATCTGCTTCTTTCTTTGTTGTGACCCTGGAAGCATTTAAGTCCTGTCACTTGAATTGAGAGGCTGAAATTTAAACCTGCTCAGGCTGTAGCAACGTGATCCTGATTGCTGTCACCATTGGGAGCAAAGGTGTCACAGCAGTGCCAGGCAGCACCCCATGACAACAAGCTGCTGTGGGTCTGGCCTCTGGTCCCCAAGCACCACGTCAGGGTTAACAGAGCTGCACAAAGCCAGCGGGATAGGAGAGGAAACACCTATGGAAAGGAAGCTCCTTTTCGGGGTCAGGAAGAGCCTCGGAAGGGTTTGCTTCTCTCGCAGCCATTACTTTGTTGTAACTCTTGGTTTCCTTTGTCCCTAATGGGAATTAACACAGCGATCCAGAGCAGCCCTGCAGAGGTACCTGTTCTACTGCAACCGCTACATGAACCACATGCAGAGCCTGCGCTTCGAGCACAAGCTCTACGCTCAGGTGAAGCAGAAGATGGAGGAAATGCAACAGCACAACATGTCGTGGATTGAGGTGCAGTTCCTGAAGAAAGCAGTCGACGTCCTCTGCCAGTGTCGTGCCACACTCATGTACACTTACGTCTTTGCCTTCTACCTCAAAAAGAATAATCAGTCCATTATCTTTGAGGTAGGAGAAAACACGGTTGTCAGGAGTTCAGGTTGCAAAGAGAAGGGAAATAGATTTAATGCTTGGAGAAGCTTTTGTCCCTGGTTTTACCACGGGGAATCTAGCTTAATATTCCATTGTGCAAAAGTTAGAGGTCCTGCTGGACACTGTGCCATTGTCAGCTGGTGGTGGAGGTAGAGTTACAACATGCTGCCCTTCAAAACAAGACAGGGAGCGAGGTTCTCTCTGGAACTGGCAAAGGCAGCACTAAAGCTTAAATCTGGCATTTTGATTTTCCCTGGTGTTGGTATTTTCCCGAGGGTGCTGCCATTAAAATTGAACTTGAAAGTCTAAACGTGGAGGCCCGTCTGCTTGATTGTTATGATTTAGATCAGTCCTTTGTGCAGAACCCAAGCTGGAGGCTCAGCCACGGGCATGCAGAACTATTGAGCAGTAGTGAATGCCATGCTCTGAAACTGCTCTGCACATACCAGGGGTCAGTAGAGGCTTTGCCAGGGCTGGTAAAAGAAAAAATAAATAGGTTACAGAATGGGAGATGAATTGTCTCATACTCTGCTGTACCACTAGTAAGGAAAGGGTTTGTTCAGGCTTGCCTTACATTGAAGACATAAGACTTGCTGGCAGATACGCAGATTTTCTTCTGATCAAATGAAGAAATTCCATTGTTTTCCATCTTGATGCTCAGAGCAGGTTACTCAAGACTTGCACAGTGTCTATATCTAACCCTGCCTTTTATTTCACTGCTCACTTCAGCTGGATTCAAGGGGAAAAAAAAAAATCTGTTCCTTCTGCCCCTCAAAATACTCCTGTTTTATTCTTTTTTTTTTTTTTTTTTTGTCTTTGCAGAATAACCAAGCAGACTTAGAGAATGCTACAGAGGTGCTTTCTGGGTACCTTGAGCGAGATATATCCCAAGATTCACTGCAAGACATAAAGCAGAAAGTACAGGATAAGTACAGGTTTGTTTTGGAATCATCCTCTGTCTCAGAGCTCCCCGGCTCGCCGTCCCATGTGACAGGTAGTGGCTTGTCTACTTGCCAGCTACAGTCTTCTCCAGAGCCACGTCCCTGGGAAGCTGTTTGCTCTGGGCCTCCTGCCATACATTGTGATCATCAGGTGGTCCCTGAGCATCTGAGAACAGCAGTGGCCCTGGTGGCCTGTGCCAGCTCCCAAAATAGTGGCAAAGCCACTGGGGACCAAAAAAAAAAAAAGGCCAAGTTGGGTGAGCTGTAGTGACTGAGGGGTATTACTTTTCAAAAATATATTCTGAGGGGTTTTTAAACTGCTGGTTTTGCCTGGGAAGTAAACACCCCCAGTGGGACCCCAGTAGTACCTTCAGGGTGGTCTTCAGCGAAGAGGAGGACAGTGGCGGTTAAAGGAGAGATGGGCAACGATCGTTTTCTTCCAAAATAAAAGGTTTTAATAACATGAAAATAACAAACAAAAACACCGTAGGCAGGCACTGAAACAGCACCCACCCCAGGGGAGAAGTGAAAGAGCATGTGGCCTTGGGGCCAGGGGTTTTTTAACAGGTAGGTAGGTGGGTTTACAAAGGCATTGTCCTGTAAGGATACATGGATGGGTTACCGACAGGTCAGGGGTCCAGTGGGTGTTAGGGGATTGGTCTTGTGGTGGCTAAGCCAACCACAACCTGGGAAAGGTGGAAAATTCTGGATGTGTGCCCATGTTTGGGGACAAAGAGGCAACAGAAACCTCTTTCTCCAGGAGGTGCACTGCAACAGAGGGGCTCTTGGGAGTGGGAGCAGCCACTGAACTTCGGTGGCCCTGTGGCCTGTTCTGGAGGAGACTTCCCAGACCTTCCCTTTTGAGCCAGTTGGTGACTTCCCAGCTCACTGCTGGTCTTCAAGGGGGTCTCGGATCAAGCTGCTTGTCCATGGAAGTCCTCTGGAAGTGGATGCTCCTTTAGGGATGGCAACAGCTATCTGGAGGAAATGGGGGGTGGACTAGATGACCTTTAGAGGTCCCTTCCAACCCAAAGCATTCTATGGTTCTGTGAAATTAAAGCCTAATACAGCCCAAATTATCTGTAAACATAGTATCCCAAACGAGCTTCCATCTTCCTGGGAAGAAAGTATGTGTCTTGTCAAGCCCGTGCAGGTCCTTAATTAACTAGTTCAATCATGTCTTAATCATGTCCTGCACGGTGTACACCATGCTGGTGATGGGGAACTGATGCAAGGCTGGAGCTCAGGAGCTTCTCGAGGTGGGTCTAAAGAGCTCTGGGAAACTGCAGGACCTGACCTGGCTCATTTGGTTCTGTTTCCGTCTTTTAGCTTGCAAAGACTTTTCTAGAAAACAGGATTAAACTCCCACCAGCAACAGCAAAATCCCTGAAACTGGGGAAAGAGAAACTGTATGTGTTTGCTCTGCTTCAGAAAATCAGTGGTGCTCTGTGTGGTGGCTTTGGTATGTTCTAGGACATCCCTTTTCCTCAGTATTGTTGATCCTGGGAGGACTGTGCCCAACTACGGATCAGTTTTATTTGCAGCTTCGTCAGTTTAAATGAGAAAGGCAGGAAGAGCTGCCTGGAGTTCTGATGAGAGGCAAAACCTGCACTCCAGCCAGACCAGGGACCCTTTCTGTAGGCACTGTGACTGCTTCCATCTCCACTGGGATTTTAGAATCATAGAATCATTCAGGTTGGAAAAGACCTTAAAGCTGCTGGAGTCCAACCATTGCCCCAGCACTGCCAGGTCCCCACTGACCCATGTCCCTCAGCACCACATCTCCACGGCTTGGAAACCCCTCCAGGGATGGGGACTCCACCACTGCCCTGGGCAGCCTGGCACAGCCCTGGACAACCCTCACGGGGAAGAAATTGTTCCTCAGGGCCAACTGAAACCTCCTCTGGGGTAACTTGAGGCTGTTTCCTCTTTTCCTGTTGGTTGTTCCCTGGGAGAAGAGCCCAATCCCCACCTGGCTCCAGCCTCCTGTCGGAGCTGTGGAGAGCCAGGTCTCCCCTGAGCCTCCTTTGCTCCAGGCTCAACACCCTTTTTTTGGTTTTGGGGACACTTTTGCACAGGGAAAATGTACATTTGTGTGCTGGTTTTTCAGCCAGGGACCTGGCGTTGAGTGACTGGAGTAACTGAAGTCTTAATTAGTGCTGATAAGGGGCTACAAATAGAGAGTCCCTTCTCGGGGGGATCTCCTCTTTGGCTTAACATAGATTTGTGTTCTTCTGTGCTGGGGCTGAGCTGTAATTCCTAAAATCCTAGAATCATTAAGGTTGGAAAAGACCCTGTGTGATCATGTTTCTCTTCTGGGAATACTTGATTTTAGGTGCAAAGGAAGACAAAAAAAGGATCAAATGCATTTCTTTGGCCTCAAATTTGTGTCTTAAATGCTGGAGTTTTGTTTTTTTCCTAGAATCATTAAGGTTGGAAAAGACCTCTAGCATCATCAAGTCCAACCATCATCCCAGCACTCCCATGGCCACTAAACCATGTCCCCAGGTGCCATGTCTACATGTTTTTTGAACCCCTCCAGGGCTGGGGACTCCAACACCTCCCTGGGCAGCCTGGGCCAAGGCCTCACCACTCTGCCAGGAAAGAAATTCTTCTTAAGATGCAATTGAAACTTACCACCTCACTCCCAACTGTCTTTGAGGGAGTTGTAGAGAGCCAGGTCTCCCCTGAGCCTCCTCTTCTCCAGACTAAACACCCCCAGGTCCCTCAGCAACTCCTCATAAGCCACGTTCCCAAGACCCGTTGCCCTTCTCTGGACCCGCTCCAGCCACTCAATATTTCTTCTTCTCTACCACCCAAAACTGACCCTGGTACTCAAGCTGTGGCCTCCCCAGTGCTGAGCCCAGGGGGATGATCCCTGTCCTGATGATCTGCTGGCCACACTAGTGGCCACAAAATGCTGGTGGCCTTCTTGGGCACACTGCTCCCCCCCTCCTAACCCTCCGTCTTGTGCCGTCTCTTTGCCACAGATACTGCGAGAGCCGGCGACGGGTTTTGTTGCAGCACGTGCACGAAGGCTACGAGAAGGACCTGTGGGAATACATCGAGGACTGAGTCCGGCCCAGGCATAGAAACGAACTCTTGAAATCCCTTTTCCCCTCTGGAGTGCTTGTGAGATTGGAATCCACCCACCCGTGAGGCGCCGTGCCCGCTCTGCCGCACCGGGGTTCTCTCTCGTTCACCGAAAACAGCTGAAAGTAAATTATATTGTAATAAAAAAGAAGGAAAAAACAAAACCATACCAACAACCCAACCGACACCCCAAGGTAGCTAAAGCATCGTGCAGCAGTGTTGTAGGCGGCCGATAAGAGTGTGAGCGACGCACTAAAAAGAAACAAAACCCTCCAACTTTAACTTGTAACGTAGCTTCATTCTTCAAGCCAACTCCTTTTTCTTTTCTATCTTTCTTTTCCTGTGTGTAGTACAGATGAAATTTAAACCAGTTTCTTGACACCGCTTTTCATGTCCAAACCAGCCATTTTGATGTACTTTGGTCAAGGTTGGGGTGGGGTGGTGGCTTCTTCCTCCTCCTCCTCCTCTCTGCCACACAAGTACACGGATGAATGTCGATCGCTTGACTCGTGTAAAGATGAGTCTTGGGGGAGGAGAGGGGGGTACACAGCAAGGAAAAACAAAAAACAAACCACAAAAAGAAAAAAAACCGATCCACAAAAAAAAAAAACCCAAACCTTTGTATATGACTTTTAAAACAAAAAGAGGACAACACAGTATTTTTCAGAGTTGTATATAGCGCATATGCATGGATAAAGAGCAAGCGTGGCACGTGTTTGCATAATGTTTAATTACAAAAGAAAAAAATATTTATTCTTTAAAAGTCTTCAAGATTATGTCTACTTGCTGTGCAGTTTCTTTCAGTTCCCTTTGCTTTGGTTTGTGTCGCTTTCCCTGGGCTGGGGTGGGGGAAGCGTGCGCTGGCGGAGCAAGTAGCTCTTTATTTTTCTCTTTTTTTTTCAGTTTTTGGGGAAGCTTACCAGAGAATTCAGGTTTCTGCTCTTCCCACGGTTCCTTTGGGTGCATCCCCTCGATGCGCTTCAGGATGCTTTGCCCCCTTCTTTTTATATATTTTTTTGTTTGTTTTTTAAACATTTTGGCCCTGGATTATTGATACCTGCCCCAGTTCCCTGCTGTTCCCATCCATGCAGGGACACATGCGCCGAGCCCACAGGAGCAGGGGGCGCATGTGTCTCTTAGAGTTGGAATTCCGAGGCAGGAAAAAGAGGGATATTTTGCACCACTTCTCCAAAGACTCCTGGAAAGATTTCGGCTGTGGATCTCCTCTTCCTTCCCCCTTTCGTCTGTCAAATGGACCTTTCCTTGCTGGGTTTGAGTTTCACTTACATTATAACGAGTCGTAACGTTGAAAAGGAAAGATTATGGAATTGTCTGTGTGTTTGTTTTGGGCTCAATTCCTGGGCGTACTGTCCTGGCAAATATTTAACGCTCCATCTAGCGCAGCAGAAGCTGAAATCAGCAGGGTATTTTTCAATTAAAAGGGGAAAGAATTAACGAGTTAGCTACTGAGTCCATTTTTATGATTTCTGTAACGAGCTATGTTAAAAAGTAAACAATTGGTGGTGGTTTTATTAAATTTACTCCTGTATAGGAATTCCTTCTGTGGTATTTTTCGCCAGGCTGCTGTCCCCCGAGCTCTCTGCCACCTTCCAGGGGAATTGCTTTGCAGAAGGACCAGTTAAGGGAGGCAGATCCCAGGAAGCTCTAATACTAAATGGTGTTTCCAGCTGGCACCCGAGTCACTCCAGCTCCCTGGCTGCTAAACAACGATGCTTCCAGTGATAGACTTCAGTCACTCTGTCCCTGGTTTCCCCTCCAGATCCTTCCAAAACGGTTCATTTCCCCTGGGAAATCCCAGGGGAGAGAGGATCTGCGGGGCAGCTGTGGTTGCCCTGTGCTGTTCCTGCATGGGGCAGGGCCTCTTGGCAGTGCCTGCCTGCCACTTCGGGTTCCCTTTCCCTCACAAAAAACTCCCAACTGTTTTTTTTTCAAAAGTTTCCCCAACTTTGAAGGCTACATGCGTTCTGCTGGAACCACCGACTCCACCTGGCCATGAGTTTTCACTCCACGTGATGGATATGGGCAGGCTCCAACCCAAGCGAAACCTGGTCCGTGGCACCTTCAATCTCAACCCCTGTTGGTTAAACATTAAGATAACAGTTCTTAAAGCTCTGTTCTGTGGGAGCAAGGCCGGCTTCCATGGGGATGAGGGGTGAGGATGCCGTCCCTGCCGTGGACAGAAAATTTCTGTGGAAAACATAAAGGAGAAAAAAGACAAGTATCTCTCCTTTCCGCCTTCCTTTCTCCCTCCCTCCCCTGAAGCTCCCTACGGGGCCTGAGGGCAGCCCGCCCTTGAGGGCCCCCCTTCAGGCGCTTCTCGCTTCCCACACCGCGGGAAAAGCCGAATTAAACCCTTCCCCGTCACCCTCCCCTCAAGAAGTCCGCGGCCCTCAATGGCGGCCGCGAAGGAGAAGACTCTTCCCACTTTCCCGGCAGGCCTCGCGCCGCGCGGCCTCTTCCGGCGTGCCCCGGAAGTGCTGCTGAGG